CATCCAAGACATGGTTGACCACCCCAGAAGTTTTTAGTTCCTTTTTTGGGATGCAAATGGAATGCAAGACTTGTTTCATATCAAGCTATGTACTAAGAGCTGCTAAATAAGCTATAGTTTAGGGGTATACCTAATATAGTAGAAAATTGATACATTTTTGAAGTCGTTCATTTGCCCATTTTAAAGCAATTTCTCTCAAAATGTCTACCACCTTCAAAGCTGCTGATGTCAATTCTTAAATAAGCTGATTAGTGGCTTTCAAATGGCATATTGTACGCAGGCAGAGTGTCTTTATTTGCCGATTTGGGAAAAACTGCCGTTCGCCTTAGGGGCTAAAGGGTTGATACAGGTTTCACTGTGCAATGTTCGTGCATAAGTGGACACCAACTTGAGTCCCTGAATGTTCTTCCCACATTTACTGTAAAATAAATCTGAATTCAGCGCAAACCTCTGTTAAGCGGACGCGGACACCAATATTAAGCTATTTTGTTGCACAAAACCTGCAATAAGCGGACACCTCAAACGCTTTCTACTTCTAAAAGCTCAGCGCATTGTTCAGCGATGTCGTTTTAAAGCTAAGTAGATTATTGACTAACTGGACATTGTGTTATGAGCAGTCTTTGATCTTACACTGTGTCACATTGTGTTACAAATTAAAAGGGTTAATAATGAACTATTATTGCCTGTTTAGAGCGGACACCCTGTATTAAACGGACACTACTGTGTGTCCCAAGGGTGTCTGCTTGATACAGCTTTCATTGTACTAGGTTTTCCGTGCCCTTTGCCTTAAAATTAAACTAAATTTTCTGCCCGGAAGAGGCAAATTAAAATGCTATAGGATTATAACAATGCTAATAAAATAAACCTTGGTAATGACATAAACCGACCTCGAACTTTGTGTGAACGGGTTATCGTAGAGAATATCAAGTCGGTACTTGAACGCAAATCCGTCCTAATACAATTATTGCTAATCACAAACAATTTCGCTTAAGACTACATCTTGCCTTACACTATTTTTTTTGTAAGAACATTGTTTTTTTCGGCCGAGGCTGAATATTCTTACTTTTCTGCCGATTTTAGGCTGAAAATATTCTTGTGAATATTCTTAGATTATAGTGTGTGACATTTCTGTTTTCGAATGTATTTGGTGTCTGGGTGGTGTTAAAGTAATTTTGGAGCCAGCCTGCAGGCATTAAAGCCTGGTATGACGCACACAACTTCTTGTAGAAATGATTAGCATCGAACATACGGCTAGAGCTGTTTTTGTTGCTCTTTGGCTAGTTTTGCCGTTTTTAGAAGGGAAGAAGTTTTGTACGGTTTAGTCAAAAACATAGTTGTATTGTATTTACAAATTTTCAACCGGCACAAAATTATATTCTTTTCAAAATCTCAGCTTCGAGTTCATTCTTAAAATCTTAAAATTTCGCAAATTTCAGCCTCGATATTCTTATAAAATATTCGATTGTATTAAGAAAGAGTGTGTTTGTTAAATTATCGGATAGCAGCTTGAAGAACAATATGGATAGAATTAGGTTCTATGACAATTTGAACATAATTACTCCTAAAACGATTACAAAACAGTTGGTGGGCTTTATTTTAAGGACTTTTAAGCGGACGCTATAAATATGGCTGCAGCTGTCATAATCGAGTTTCACAGAAACATCCTGTTAATCCTAATATTAACGACAGTGGTCATTGAAAGTAGCTGTCTTCAGTCCTGCGTCTGAGGTCTATGAGGTAGAGTGCTTTAAAAATGTAGAGGCTTCGATTAAGAAAGCATCAATAACTGACTTAGATCCAAACTGCAATCTCTCAAGCAACAACATGTTAATCGCAAGAGAGAGATCTAATGATTTCCATCAAAGACGGAAAAAACGTTCGCGAAAAGCCAAAAGCCGGATCTGACTGAGTTTCCGCAAATTTGTTCTTTTAGTAAAAATCACTTGGCTTGTGGTCGATCAGGTTAAATTTACGTTGCTTTCGCGAAAGAAGGGACGCGAATATTTATCAACCTGAGAGAAAAGGTGTTTGTTTGGTGAAACCTTGTTAAAATTTGTGCCTGACTTTCCGCATGTGATGTTGTGACACATGTACAAAGCCTTTTAAATTTAAATCTTTCTCAGATGTTGGGAAAAGCTCATGTTTTGACACGAGATTGCCCTTTAATGAACGTTAATTATGTATTTCTAAAGGATTTTTAGAATTAAAAATATTCATCTTCCAATGGAAACGTAACTTTGAAACCCAATTGACTGTCACATGGCTTACGTAAAGTCATTAATTAACAGTAGTTACCTGTGACGTGTGTTACCACTGTTAGCTAAACAAAGACCAATACGGAAGACTTGTTAGATCATTACCATTTTATTTGCGCACCGTTGGACGCGAAATGTCATTATGGAGGTTGACAACGCTTGATGTAATTTTGTCAATTTCACTTTCTAGCTTTATTTAACGAAAACGCGTCACTCTACGCGGCAGAAAAAGGGCACGTTCACAAACAGAACGCTGACAACCGGATGTTTTAAAACGATTGCCAAGATTGATCTACGAAGAAAAGTTTTGAAATCGTGCTAATTATTCGTCACGTTTTATTATTCCGTGCAGCAATTATGAAATATCAAGGTTGCTTCCGTGCTGTGTTGTTCTTAGGGACATTGGTAGGAATCGCATCTTCTATCAAAGACTATTCACATGCGAGAATCTTCAAGAACGGCGATATAATCTTGGGTGGAATCTTTCCACTTCATCTGGTCAGAAACAACGACTCCTGCTCGGATCTTCGTTCAAACATGTTAATTTTATCAGAGGCTATGATATACGCTGTTGATGAAATTACTAAAGAAGGCAAAATTCTACAGAACGTTACTTTAGGGTACGACATCAGAGATACGTGTGGCAACGAACAAGAAGGTGTATCGATAGCATCGGACTTTGTCTATGAAAATACACTCAAGTTTGACCAAAGATTTGCTGTGACAAATAGTTGTCTCGCCGGAGTCACGAAACCGAAACGACAGCCCGTCATAGCGGTGATCGGAGGGATGGATTCTCGGGTTTCGGTCAACGTGGCAAATGTCCTCCAAGTAGAAGATGTACCACAGATTAGTTATGGAGCTACGAGTGCGGAACTAGCGACTGCGGAATTTACTTCGTTCTTTCGTACGGTTCCTGGTGACACCTTTCAGTCACGAGCAATGGCGGAGTTCATTGCTCATTATCAATGGACTTGCGTGGCTGTTATTGGCGTCGATGATTGGTACGGGCGCAGTGGGGTCGCAGCTTTCGTCACTGCGGCTAACGAGACCGGAACATGCATTGTGCTAAAGGAGTTCTTTCCTGTGCACGATTCCGAAATTCAAATTGAGAGGTTAATCGCTAGGGTAAAACTTATGAAACAAGTACAGATTATAATATTATACAGTCTGGTGCCTCAGGCGATTCTGGTGTTCAAGGAAGCCGTCAAACAGGATTTAACCGGAAGAACCTGGATTGCTAGCGATGGATGGTCCGATTCTTCTCTCATACAGCAACCTCGTTTCAAGCCGATTATACAAGGTGCAATAGGTTTCGGTTTCCACGCTTTTCTATTTCCAGACTTTGAGAAACACGTCAGTGAAGTGACGCCTCTTATGCACAGGGGATCGTGGTGGAACGAATTCTGGCAGAACGAGTTCAACTGCACCGCGGTGAATTTCACGAGCACGCTGCACGAGCCCTGTACAGGCCAGGAACGAGTCACAGAAGAGATGTTCCAAGAGCGGTTTAGCCGAGGTGAAGCTGCGTACGTGAGGGATGCAGTGTATTCTGCCGCCGTTGGCTTGAGCGAGTTATTAAATTGCGACATTAACGGACCCATAGTTAGAGGAGACTATGACGGTCCCAACTGCTCTTCTGCAAACTTGTCTGGGTTACGCTCCGAAGATCTATTAGCTAGCCTCAAGAAAGTTTCATTTGAAGGGCTCACTGGACAAATAAACTATAAGAAAGGCGAAGTTGAGGCAACGTACGATATATTTAACCTTCAAGAAACCGAGCAAGGTGGATTCAAACTTGTTAAAATTGGCGTTTGGAACGAGGCGAAGGCGCAAAAATTAATGGTGCAAGATGATGTAGTTCAATGGCACAATGGGACGAAGCCTCGTACAACTTGCGGAGAGATCTGTAAGGCGGGCAGTTACAGAAGTACTCCCAATCAGTGCTTCTGGGAATGTGTCCCGTGCGATCTGGACACCGTTAGTGAGTATTCGGAAAGCACCGAATGCATAGCTTGTCCCGAGGGATTCATTTCTAATCCCAGCAAAACGAAATGCGAGGAGGTGCCGATCAAGTTCATCGAGTGGGGTGACCCGTGGGGAGTGGCTCTGTCAGCTTTGACTGTGTTCTGTGTTCTGTTCACTATCGTCGTCTTGGCAATCGTCATTCAAAAGCGCAAAACGCCAATAATTGAAGAAACAGGCGGATTTCTTAACATCTTGTTTCTGGTTGTGGCGTTGCTGTCGTTTGCTTTCAACTTTATCCACCTCAGCAAGCCCTCGGATTTAAGGTGCCGTGTGTTACCCCCGGTATTTTACCTGGTATACACGGGTGCTGCCTTAGTGCAATTTCTGAAAGTCTATCGCATTCGGCAGCTTGTTAAACCACCAGCTCCGCCAGCGACACATAACAAACAACAGGTGTACATCATTGTTGGAATGCTGTGGACTTTTCTCTTTTTGGTTTCTCTCGCTTGGGTTCTGGTAGACCCGCCGAAACGTGACAAGCATTTTGTGTCAAGATTGGTCGTATATGGTATTTGTTCGCACTACCAAACGAGTGTTGGACTTGTTCTTCGTTATTTCTGCGCGGCCTGTATATCCCTTATCATTATTACTGCCATGGTGGTGGCGTATAGCACTAAGAGCCTGCCACACGGCCAGCGGTTTGACGAAGCTAAACACTTGGCGTTCTCGTTAACGGTCTTCGCAGTCTCATTTGCAACGTTTTACCCAGGGTGGGCCCTCATAAAGGGCCCAAGTTTGACGGTGTTCGCGTGTAAGGCCAATGTAGTCGCCGCTACGGGTACGGTCCTGTGTATGTTTGGGCCCAAGCTGTGGCTCATTTACCGCTTCCCTCGCCACAACACACAAACTTACGTTCGCCCTACACCTTTTCAAGCAAGGGAGTCTAGATCGTCAACTTTGCTGTCTATTGGAAATATTGCTATGGTGGTAGTCAACAGCGAAGGCAAAGGATCGCCAACGTCGGGACAAAGATAGTTTCTCCTGCTCTAATTTACTACTTACTGAATAGCTAAAGGTACTGAAAGTCTACATACGAGCCAAGTGGCCCATCAGGCCGGAGCTTATCCTGGTTTTTGTCGCATGAAGCGACTAGGAATATTTTTACTCCCCCCTGGATGGGATGCTAGTCCATCGCAGGGTTACCCCCCGGCATTAAATATGGCGACACTGCGCCTCCAAATCTAGGATGGTAGAAAACCAAAAATGCATGGTTAAGGTTAGGTAAATTAAATTGAGCCAGTTTTCGCAGCATCCGAATCGAAAACTACAGTGAAACCTCTATTTACAGGACACCCTCGTTCACTAATACAGGTTTATTAAGATGGCACAACATTTGTTAACGATTAAGTTTTAATAGTTTCTCTATAACAAACGTTCCGATCGTTAATCAGCCTATCCTGAATTTAAGTTCGTGAGGAACTTTAATTTACGTTGTTTCTAATCTGTCCTTTCATGTGTCTGGGCTTAGACTTAAGGTCGTAATCCAGTACTGCAATGCAAATTCAGTCCGGCGTCCTAGCCTGTAATGGAGTTTTTTTAACAATAGAAATTACCATTTAATTAGTGTCTGTGTCCGGTTAATAAAAGATTTCCGCCCTGATAAGGGTTCCTTCTAAATTAATCAGATAAAGATTTATTAGAATAAATCTACTAGCGTTCTATCACGAATGCCGTTCTCTGATTGGCTAC